TCTCTCTCTCTCTCTCTCTCTCTCTCTCTCTCTCTCTCTCTCTCTCTCTCTCTCTCTCTCTCTCTCTCTTTTGGTTTTTTGAGACAGGGTTTCTCTGTGTAGCCCAGGCTGGCCTCAAACTCAGAAATCCACCTGCTTCTGCCTCCCAAGTGCTGGGATTAAAGGCGTGCACCACCACCGCCCGGCCCACTCTAGTCTCAAACTCAGAGATCCACCTGCCTCTCAAGTGCTGGGATTAAAGGTTTGCGCCATCACCACTTTGTGCTTAATTTCAGAATCCAACCTTTCTTCTAGGGGTGGGGCAGGGAGGATTCTTTCCCACCTCCTAGATAGTGCTCCATTATGGATCAATGACTCCATACTTCACAACAGAGTTTTGCTGTTTATATCACCCGAAGAGACGACTCAGTTGAGAGCATGCATTAACCCAGAGAACCTGGGGTGGATTCTCAGCATCCACATGGTAGCAGACAATCATCTCTAACTCCAGATCCAGGGAATCTGAAACGCTCTCTGACCAACCTCCTCGGATACCAGGCATGTGTGTGGTGCACATACATACTTGTAAGAACTAATTTATACACATAAACTAAAATAAATACATCTAAAACAAGCAAATGTCTTCAGCTAGACATTTGATGGCTCAGTGAGTAAAGGAGCTTGCTGGCCAAGCCTGGCAAACTGAATTTGATCCCTGGAACCCACATGGCAGAAAGGGAGAACTGATTCCTGAGAGTTGTTGACAAAGATACTGTGCACTCTGGAATGCCACACATACACACACACACACACACACACACACACAAGCACACTAAATGTACAATTTTTTGTAAATAAAATCAGTACTCTCCATATACACTTACCTTCAGTGTCTTTAATCAAATGGGACAAAACACCAACATTAAAAGAATCATCTGATGTTAATTTCCAAAATACCTTCATTTATATTAGTTCCCCCTCCTATGGCAGGTGAGGGAAGTACACACCAAAGTGGTTTTGAATCTTGACTGTCTATCGTCCATGGGGGAGAGGGGACGACACAAAAGCAGAGTAACTTTTGGTTTGGGGTGTGGAAGCCTAAATTTCTGGTTTGTGAGACAGGATCTTGAAGCATTCTATCCCCCTGCACCTGCCCTCTGGGGCTGGGGTCGCAGGCATGCATGCAACAGAACTCTTTGGAAGACTAGAAACTGAGGAGTAACAAGAACCAAGTGTGGCAGCGTTAATCCCAGTGCTTGAGATTAATCCGGAGGCAGATGGACCTCTATGAGTTCAAAGCCAGGCTGCTCTACATAGTCAAGTTCAGGGGCAACTATACAGAGACGAAAGTTCAGAGATTTACCTTCTACCAGAAGAACTAGCTCTGCTGTAGATTAAGCCCAAGGCCCCATCTGATGGTTACCAGCTCAGGTGTGACTGAACTGGAGCACACATCTTCTCCAAGAGACTGCTTCAGAGTAGCTGAATCCATTCACACCCCAAGCTGAGTTGAGGTGTTTGATCCTTTATGCTGAACTCCAGGCCAAAAGTCCATAGCTACACTCACCTCGACATAATGTAATATCTCGCCAGGGGTGACTTCACCTTTGACTTTGCCAGCCTGCTGACCTTCTCAATGCTTAAGATAAAACAGCATCACAAAAAGAAACAAATGACATTAAAATATTTTTGACTATTCACTATGGCGGTAGCAGTGCACACCTTTATTCCCAGCACTTGGGATGCAGAGGCAGGCAGATCTCTTTGAGTTCAAGTCAGCCTGGCTACTGATTGAGTTCCAGGACAGTCAGGGCTACACAGAGAAACCATCTCAAAACCAAACCAACCAAACAAACAAAAAGACGTCTGGGTATGAACTTCTTGAGAACAGGGATTGTCTGTAAGATCAGTGTCTAGCACAAAATCTGCATCTTCATGGTACTTACTGAGGCCTGACGACGCAATCGATGGCATTCAGTACTTATACATAGACAGTACTTACAAATGTTTATTTAACGAATGGCTAGAGAAAAGATAGCTACCATCAAGTCAGCCTGAGGAGTAATTTCATTGCAACTGCCTATTCACACATCAGTAACTTGCATGTATACCACCCCATCTAAAATAATCTAGACCAGGGCTGTGAGAGGTCTCGTTCCTACAAGTACCACAGCAGCTAGCAATGACAGCAATTGGAAGACCAGAGAAAAACAACAAAGCTTGTGTAATCCACCCGCCAAAATGTTTTACGTAAACAGGCTCTGTCTCAAGAAGGAAATCTGACTTTGGAAGCATGATGCTCACACGACCTTTAATGCTACAACAGCTGTGAAGAGCAAAAAGACAGGACCTGAGGAAGCCTGCCTCTATTCTCTAGGGTGCCTCCCGAGTCCTGAATTGGTCCACCCATCTCTGGAAAAGAGAAATGACCTAAAGGGCACAACAGGGATGAGATGTGGCTTTCTAGGTTCAAGTAACAGTTTCAGTCTGAAAACTGAAACTTTTAGGGCTGGCAAGATGGCTCAATGGATGAGGGTGCTTGCCACCAAGCCTGGCAACCTGAGTTCAATTCCCAGGACCCACATGGTGGAAGGAGAGAACAGACTCCTGCAGGTTGCTCTCTAACCTCCACATACATACTATAGCAAGCTCTCCATCACACACACACACACACACACATAAATAAATCTAATAAAAATTCCTATGAATTAACAAAAAGCCTAAGGAAGCCAGAAATAAATTCCACTTCCTCCATTAAAAATGTAAGAGATCAAAAGCTTGTCCTAAACAGAATGTTTTTGAGACACTATTTCATATATTCTAGGTTAATTTTGAACTTGCTATGTATGACCTTGAATTTCTGAGTCTCCTGTCTCTACTTCCCAAGTGTTAAGATCAAAGGTATGTGTCCCCATGCTCACTTTATTTCCTGCTGGAGACTGAACCCAGGGTTTCATGCATGCTAGGTGAACATTTTACCAACTCAGTTCTGTCCCCAGCCTAATTAATATTCTGAAAAGAAAAGTCTAACACTTGGGAGGCAGAGGCAGGCGGATTTCTGAGTTCGAGGCCAGCCTGGTCTACAGAGTGAGTTCCAGGACAGCCAGGGCTACACAGAGAAACCCTGTCTCGAAAAAACCAAAACCAAAACCAAAAAAAAAACAAAAACAAAAACAAAAGAAAAAAAAGAAAAGTCCAGTTTTAAAGCTGAAACAAATCTGAATAGAGTTCAGAAATCGCACTCTTAAGGGTCTTCAGAGTGATCCCCAAGGGCTTCCCTGGCAATATCAGGCCATCTAAGAGATGGGAGGTGACATTCTCAGTTGCTTACAGTATTTTTAAAACCTGCAGGTAGGAAGACAGGTTTAGCAGGCATCCTTCTCTATTTTTTTTAAACTAAAGTCAACATTTTACGTTTAATAATAATAATAAATCCTCTAACTCCTAAGCTGTATGCTTTTCTGACCTATAAAGTCACCTGGAGAGTGTCCATATTTTCACTAATATAGTAAACAATATAATTAAATCAGAAACTGCTCATTCTTCCCCAAACCCTAAAGAGAACCAAAGAAACAGGATCACATCAGAAAAAGTGACCTAGTAATTCTGAATGTACAAACAGCATTCAGGAAGAAGCCCCACACCCAACGTTACTGACACTTCTGTCATATTTCTTATGATGTCATAGGCAATGTCCCTTTCCCAGGAAGTCCAGCTCACTCAGGAGACATCTAGTCCATGCCTCAGGAAAGGCTGGGGGTGTTACCAGTCTTCCCTGCCAAGCCTAAGCCATTTTATGAGTTCTGTATCTCTCAGAAACATCTGTGGTATAAACAGTAGAGGAGAATCTCAAAGGGAGTGAAGGCAGGCAGGCACCTGTCACTGCTGTCTGCCGAACGGCTGCAGAACATGGGATCCAGCAGACTGAAGGAAAAGAAGGGGAAGCACCAGGTGAATGACTGCTTTTGGTTCCAAAGCCAAAACATGTACACACATGTACACACACACACACACACACACACACACACTTGTGTGCAGGGTTCTACTGAAAATAGCAGCTGGTCTGCATGAAGGACTCTGCCATTCCTAGAGTCAAGAAACAAAAAATGATGGCCTTGGAGCCCCACCTCCATGACAGCCACAGTCAAGAACTAGAACAATTTATACCACATCACAGTCTGCAAAGGAATGCACTAATAATCCTTGGTGAGAAGGGTGAGGGCTTTGACAAGGCTGGGGGCAAAGTGAGCTATCCCCAAAGCACAGCTGTGATAATCTTTTGATTGCTGTGTATCTTTCTAGAATCTCTGGCCTCTTCTGAAAATGGTACCCGACCCTCAGAGAGCTTGAGAAGCATCAGATGCACCTCTGGAAGACCATCCCTTGCCCTCTCCTTGTCAAAGGGCTTCCCCCTTAAGCTGCTGCTCCTTCCCACACTAAGCAGAGCCTGTTGTTTCAGTTTTGCACCAGCGTCTGAGGCCATCACATCCAGGATACAGAGGCAAGTATGCTTCTGTATCCATAGCAGAGCTGGTCATCTTCCGGTGTCAGATCTGTGTTCCAGGGTCTGGTCAATGCATCTTTACAAGAGAGAAACCATGCATGTATACAGACATTCTGGGAAGGATTCCTGGTTATTTTGATACCTCCCGTAAAAGCAATTACCTTCCTTGGGGAAAGATGATTCAGACCCTGGGTGACCTGTTCCTAATTTCTGGAAAGGTAGCTTGTTCTGTCTGTTTTGTCAGTGAGGGAGTAGGAGGAACCCAATATTTTCAGTTACAATGAGATTTTGTAGTTTGTTTGTTTTTTTTTTTTTTTAGAAAAAAAAAAAAGGTTCTATGTGGAAATGAGTGGGACAATGATAAAAATAAACATAATTAAAATTCCAAGCCAAAACACAGCTCTTGGCCCCATCCCCAGTCAGTCTTCCAAGACCACAATCTCCACATTGTGGACCTGATGCTGGTGCTCTTCCATTTCAGCTACCACTTTCTCCTCAGTCCTCAGTTCTGTCTCCAAGATGACTGCTTTGCCCTCAGTATCATCAGCCTCGGGGTCTGGGGCAGGGTCAATTTCAATGATGGTCTGCCCATCCTCAGAGGTGCTTTCAACAGCCTGGATTGCTGAAGTCAGGCCAGACTCCATGGCCACCAGCTCCATGGGGCTCACCATGGTGGCCATATTGCCCAGGGTGCTCCCATCCTGCATAGAGGTGGAGCTTAGCAGTGCCAAACTTGATGAAGGGTGGATGGTCACTGTCTCTGGCGAGCTGCTCTTGGCAGAGGAAACCACTGTGGCGTAGCGGAAGAGCTGAGGACCAGAAGGCAGTGTGTGGACAGTCACAGGACTGGAGCCCTGGCTGAGCGTAGCCACCGGGATATTGCCCATGGAGAAGGACTGGCCCACGGGGGTGATGGCGATGGGAGAGATGACAGTAAACTGAGGCTGCTGAACAGGAGAAGGGCTCAGGACAGTGGTGGAGGCCGGCCGCTGGAGCCGGGGTCTTTTTGGAGGCTTTGGGGTGCTCACAGGCATCAGTACCACATTTTGAACTGTCTGCGATTTCAGTCTGGGATCCTGGGCTTGCTTTTTTTGCTCTTCCAACTGCCGTTCCAAGTCTATGGGGAAAAAACAAAACCAGCCAGACTTTGTGGAAAGAAATGCTTTCTTGGGAACATTGGCCAGGGGTCAGGAGACATAGGGTTCTGTCCTGGTCCTACATTATGTAACCGCAGGCTTGTCACACCGCTGTTTCACAAATAACTCCTGGAGATGTGTCTATATTTTAAACCCTTTAGCAATTGCATTTAATGGTGGGGCTATGGGCTGGGCGACAGTTCAGAGCCTTTAAACTGTGAGCTTACTTAACTCACCACACACTCCTCCGCAAAGTTTTCATCTCCTGGCAAAACACAAATCCAAGAAGCTCCCATGGTCCTTTCCTTTTCACAAGTGTGTGATTTACACTCAGGACCACCAGCATCCTAAGGACGTGCGTTAGCACTAAGCTACCGCGCCCAGCCTGCACCCTGCACATGTGCAGACATGGATTTTAAAGATTAATGTTTTTATTTTTAATTGTGTGTATGTGAGTGTGTGTATCATATACACTCACACACACAGAGGGAGAGGGAGAGGGAGAGGAGGAGAGGAGGGGGAGGGGAAGGGGGAGGGGAAGGGGAGGGGAGGGGGAGAGAGAGAGAGAGTGCATGCACATGAGTGCAGGTTCCTGTGGAGGCAGAGAGGGAGGCAGACCCCACAGCTGGAGTTCCAGGTGGTGTAGGTGCTGGGATTCTCTGGAAGAGGAGGACATATGCTCTGAACTGTGAGCTATCACTCCAGCACACAGCATAACTACACATTTATGAGGCACAGTATAACACTTCTCTCTTACCTTTTGAGGTATTATGTGTGTATGTGCACATGCATGAGCACATGTGTACCTATGTGTATGTAGATTCCTGTGCAGGCATGAGGACAAACGCAGGTGTCACTCTTAGGAGCACTGTTTATCCCCTCCAAGACAAGGTCTCTCATTAGCCTGCAACTCACCAACTAGGCTCGAGTGGCTGTCTCCCGGGCTGAGTTAAATAGTGCATCCATTAAAGCAATCGTGCAAGAACACTTAAGGCTGCCAGGCAGTCTGACCGTGCTCTACAGCGGAGGCTGGTCCCACCTCTGTCCTCACAGCTCTCCTGGTCTACGGGAAAGTCTTTTTGTTCTTCCAGCACACCTACACACCTGAGCACTTTCTTGTCTTTATCTAGTTCTATTTGCTTTTCCTTAGGTTCCTTAAAGACCTTGAAGAGACAGAGACTACTGGATCCCGTGTTACACTCCGAAAGCTTCTTTGGAAATGAACAAAGTAGGGGGAAGAATTAGATTACCGAGATGCTCACAAGTCCCTGATGGCTTCGTTTGTGTATTTTTGTGTTTGTTGTGTAGGTATATGCTAGTGTGGTTATGTGCCCAAGTGTGTGGAAAGACAGGGACTTTCACTGAACCTGGAGCGCCACAGTTTGGCTAGGTAGCTAGCCAGTGAGCTCCAGGCATCTTCCTGTCTCCTCTTCCCCAGTGCTGGGATTGCAGATGCATGTCCTGAGCCTGGACGTCTCATGTGGGTGTTGGGGAACAATGTACAAAATCCACAGTTAGCAAAAATGGCGATACAATAATGTGAAAAGGGAAAGCTGATCCGTGTTCTGTCAGCAACATTCCTAGACTATTAGAATAACCTAGTGACATGCCAGCCCTCTAAACAGCACTCAAGAATAAGCACATCCTGAAGAGAGGAAGCTCCACGTACCTGCCAGGGTATAGAGAAACTGCTCCTCCCCCTGCTCCACTTGCTTCCGTCTGTTGTCCAAAACTCTCTTGACTGTGTCCATTAGGCCAAATGTGTTTGCCACGTTGTTTAAAACAGCAGCATCTATTAAACAAAGCACAGGCCTACAGAGTCAATCAGAAGCTCCTACCAGCTCCCTCCTGTGCTAGTTACAGACCTGAAAGAAGCCAGGAGAGAGGCGGTACATGCTTGCAAACCCAGCACACTAGGGAGACACAGGCCGTGTGGTCAGGAGTTCAAGGATACCCTGAGTGAGCTCTATGCCAGCCTTGGATATGTTAGACTCTGATTCAATCACATCTCTCTTACCCACTACAAGGAAAAGAACCAAGATATTATGGGACTCTCTTAAATACATTTCAATAATTGTTGTGGTGGTAGTTTTGAGACAGCATCTCATATCCCAGACTGGCCTCAAACTTGCCAAAGGTGACTGAACTCCTAATTTCGCATCTTTAGTTCTGAGATGACAGGTGCTCATCACCATGTCTGACAACTTTTTTTAAACCAAGATTTATCACATGTATTTAGTTTTGATTTTGTAGCATATCTGCAGATCTTTCTATGTAAACAATCACACAAGGGTCGGACTATGGCAGAGTGATTGGGTGCTTGCTTAGTATGATGGTTCCATCCTGACCACTGCAAAAACCAAGGCAAAACTCAATAAATAAGAGAAATAAATAATCTTAAATAAAAGCCCATCTGAGGCAGAAGGACTATTTGAGCCTAGGAGTGCAAGATCAGCTTGAGCAATATGATGGGACTACATCTTCGAATAACCCAGTAGGCCAGAGATAACGACTCACACTGTAATCCCACCATCTGGGAGGTTGAGCTGAGATCACTGCCTTGAGTTGAAGACCAACCTGGGTTAGAATAAAGCCTTGTCTCAAAAAAAAAAAAAATCAATAAACGAAAAAAAAATTTAAAAAAAAATCAATAAATGTCTAGGTGTGGTGGTATATGACTTTCCTAGAACTTGGCAGAGACAACTTCAGGGCTAATCTGTTCTACACAGTGAGTTCTAGGACACCCAAGACTACATATAGAGAGACCTTATCTTAAACAACAACAACAAATACCTATACAATCGCACACATACACATCATATTTTACATGTCAAACATGAGGCCTTGCATACATCACTGCTAGTAATATTACCACTAGCCCTATATACAACTGATTTCTTTAACTAAGACCACTTTATGTACACTCCTTTCCAAAGTCAATTCACCCACTTCTTTTTTTTTTTTTTTTTTGAGACAGGGTTTCTCTTTATAGTCCGGGCTGTCCTGGAACTCTCTCTGTAGACCAGGCTGGCCTTGAACTCAGAAATCCGCCTGCCTCTGCCTCCCAAGTGCTGGGATTAAAGGCATGCGCCATCACCGCCCGGCAATTCACCCAGTTCTATGTGTTGCTTTTGGTGTTTAGAGATATGTGTGCTGGTTTGTATATGCATGGCCCAGAGAGTGGCAAAATTAGGAGGTATGGCCCTGTTAGAGTAGATGTGTCACTGTGGGTGTGGGCTTTGAGACTAGAATCCTAGCTGCCTGGAAGTCAATCTTCTGCTAGCAGCCTTCAGATAAAGATGTAGAATTCGCCTGGCGGTGGTGGTGCACGCCTTTAATCCCAGCACTTGGGAGGCAGAGGTGGGCAGATTTCTGAGTTCGGGGCCAGCCTGGTCTACAGAGTGAGTTCCAGGACAGCCAGGGCTACACAGAGAAACCCTGTCTTGAAAAAAAGATGTAGAATTCCCAGCTCCTCCTGCACCATGCCTGTCTGGATGCTGTCATGTTCCTACTTTGATTATAATGGACTGAACCTCTGAACCTGTAAGCCAGCCACAATTAAATGTTGTCCTTTATAAGAGTTGCCTTGGTCATGGTGTCTGTTCACAGCAGTAACACCCTAACTAAGACAATATGTAACCAGATAGCCTTAAACTCCTGAGCCTCCACTTCCTCTGGGCTGGGATTATAGATATGTAACACACTGTCTGCCTTATAAGCCACTAAAGAGCCAAGACCACAGGCTGGTGATACTGTGTCCAACTCAATGGTTTTATACATACAAAAGTGGAGAACTCCCCCATGTAGTTCCCCAGCTCCACTGTGTTTCAAATTCACACCCTCATCTAATTTGCTGACTCTTCTATTCGAAGACCTTACAGTCATCTCAATTTAGTAGCTAAACGGTACAGTGTGTACTTAGCCCATTCAAAGCCCTGCCGGGTCAGTGGTTAAGAGGACTCTGCTTTTCCAGAAGCCCTGTGCTAAGTTCCCAGCATCCATGTCAATCAATGCACAACTGCCAGCTCCGGGAGGATCTGACAGCTCTGCTCTCCATGAGCATACACATTCATGTGCACATAAAGACACACATGTGTGCTAAATAGTTTCATGCCAACTCAACACAAGCTAGAATCATTTCAAAGAGAAAACTACAATTTGGAAAATATCCCCACCAGAGTGGTCTGTGGACAAGCCCGGGATGCATTCTCAGCCCCGCCCCTCAGACAGGGTTTTGTAGGGGTGATCTTTTAGTGCACTGTGTAAAGGTTGTCTTTTTATTATTCAAATGCTGATTTCAGTACTTGCAGAGATCTGATTACCGGCCAGACTTTGGTAATGTTATTTTTATGGTGCTTCACCTGTCTCAGTATTTTGTAAACATCGTTTACATCGGTACTCCATCACCTCCTGATTGGTTTAATAAAGAGCTGAACAGCCTATAGCAAAGCAGGAGAGGCTGGGTGGGACATCTGGGCAGAGATTGGAACTCTGGGAAAGAGTCAGAGGCTGGAGACACCCAGACAAGGAAGAAAAAGCAGGTGCCAGTACGCAGGAGGCAGCGAGCCATGACTGGTGTGTGTCAGGGACAGAGTGTGACCTAGAAGCATAAGAAAAGGAAGCCCTTCCCCAACACACATACAAGTTGCTTTTGTTATGCTGTTTCATCACAGTAGTAGAAACTTTTAAGACAACAGAATTTAAAAAGAAAAGTAAAATTTCTAAAAACAAAACAAAACAAAACAAAACAAAAAAACAACAATGACAAGATATGACCAAACCAAAATTTAAAGGCCAATTAATGAATAAAATAAGGCTGGGGATCTATCTCAGTGGGAGAGTGCTTTCCCGAATGTTGAGGCCTAGTTAAACCCCTAAGACCTCATTAAGAAGCACAGTCATGAACTGTATAAAACAATGCCTCAACTTCGCCAAGCCTTACTCTTCTTCTCTGTAAAATTAAGGTTAAATGCCTCTGCCTCTGGAGTTGTGAGGCCAACAGCAACGTGGGACACCCGTGAGTATCGAACACCAGCTCAGTCCAGCCTCAGTGAACTCACCTGTGACCTGGAAAGGCGCATGAAGGAGCCGCTGCTGAACACCCCTGAGAAGCTCCTCTATCTCCTTCTGTATGTTGCAGACGACCTCCTCCATCAACCCTACATCAGCTATCCCCTTCCAGAACATCAAAGTGTCCTCTGGCACAAACCGTATGAGACAGAAGGTGAAGAGAGACATTACCCAGATACCTCAGCACTTGAGTAAAATGTTCATTTCAATTCAAAAGAATTCTGTACTAAAACAAGAAGGACTGGCTGCCCCTACGAGTTGGTACCTAATCATTAGCCCCTTCAGTAACTAAGGGCTTAGGATATTTACCTCAATTTGTCAGGCCCTTGATTTGTTATGATTCTGGCTATAAAAACAAGTATCTCACTCCAATAAAGATATTCAATTAAATATGAATTAGGCATTCAATATTTAAGGCTAAGTATTATTTTATTAAATTCAATTTTAATTTTTTGATTAGATAAGATTTAATGTTATGAAGAATAGCTAATAAAAATATTATGATAAACATTAATTAAAGATTAATTTTTATTAGTTCTACATTAAACCAGACAGCTGGGTGGGAGGGCCTGCAGGTCACTCAGGATGATCACTAAGTCTCTTTACGTATGTACCCAGCAAATAGCAACCAATATTTATTAAATGAATGATTAGCAGAAGAAAGTGAAGATGTGCCGGGCAGTGGTGGCGCACGCCTTTAATCCCAGCACTTGGGAGGCAGAGGCAGGTGGATTTCTGAGTTCGAGGCCAGCCTGGTCTACAGAGTGAGTTCCAGGACAGCCAGGGCTACACAGAGAAACCCTGTCTCGAAAAACCAAAGGAAAAAAAAAAAAAAGTGAAGATGCTTTTCTGCTTTTCTTGATCCTTCTAAGGGAATTAATAATCACTATACTATGCCGCCTGCTCCTGAAGTTTTCTTTCTAATATCTCCCAGCTTCATTTGCCTGAGAACTGTGCTGGAGATGGACCAGGGTTTAGAGGAGAGGCACAGACAATGGAGTCCGACAGTCCCGCGGCTCAGTGCCCATATGTACTTGGGGTGAGAGGAGGTGACCTCCGCTATATTAGTGCTCATGTTTATGAGGGAAACCAGCAGATGTAACAAAGAGGTCTGCTTTGTGCATAAGCAAGGCTATAACCTTCAGAAAGACCTAAGCCGTATAGGAAAGTACCTGAAATCTCTTCAGATTCTTTCTTTATACCCTCCTCTGTGGCCATGGTGACAGCGGCGGTGAGGGCTGAGTTCCACTCCAGCCCCGCCTCTTCCATGCTCTCCTCTGAGATGGCGATCTGTGTGATGTTACCTAAGGAGAGTGCATTAGAAACAAAACAAGTCAAGTTTATGAGAAACAGTCCTAGCTATTTCTCTCATCCTCACAGACACAAAGACCCAATACTCTAACATAGTGCCTTTTGCCTATATGCCCACATTGAAAAACCCACATCTCTAGATAAGCCAGGATGTATACTGAGTTTTCCAAAGAAAACTTGCCCTGCAAAGGAAAAAGCCCTGTCTACACTGCAAACTGCAGGCCAGCCAGGCTCAACAGGAAGACTGCATCTAAACAAACAAATCTTGAGGGTCAGTGTGCACCCACCCTGCTTATCTGTGAGAAAATCTAGCCTAGTAACCTGGGTCTTACTTGGGCAGAATATCTGTTGCACACAGTAGTCTTCTCAGATGAGCCACTGACAGATTTGTCATTCCAATCTACCTGTCTAACCTCTTTTTTTTTCCCCTTCCTTTCTCCCTCTCGATGATTGTGAGCTACCATGTGGTTGCTGGGATTTGAACTCATAACCTCTGGAAGAACACTCAGTGCTCCTAACTGCTGAGCCATCGCACCACCCCCCAATCTACCTTTCTAAACTTATCAAGTCTCCTTCAATCCTGACGTGCCTTGAGAGTGGCATGAAAGTAAGAGCACCGTGGAAGGACTGTGGGAGCACTGTGTGAGTACTATGGGAGGACTGTGTGATCACTGTGTGAGTACTGTGTGAGTACTGTGGGAGGACTGTGGGAGCACTGTGTGAGTACTGTGGGAGGACTGTGGGAGCACTGTGTAAGCACTGTATGAGTACTATGGGAGGACTGTGTGATCACTGTGTGAATACTGTGTGAGTACTGTGGGAGGACTGTATGAGGATTGTGTGAGCACTGTGTGAGTACTGTGGGAGGACTGTGTGAGCACTGTGTAAGCACTGTATGAGTACTATGGGAGGACTGTGGGAGCACTGTGTGAGTACTGTGGGAGCATTGAGAACACTGTGCGAGCACTGTGGGAACACTGTGGGAGCACCATGGGAGCACTGAACAAGCACTGTGGGAGCATTGTTAGAGCACTGTGGGAACACTGTGTGAGCACTGTGTGAATACTGTGAGAGCACTGTGTGAGTACTGTGCGAACAGAATCATCTTTCTGATACTTGATATGCACTGTAAGAAAGAAATAAGAATGCTTGAAATTTTAGTTCTAACTTAAAATTCTAGTAGGCCAGGTGGTGGTGGTGCATGCCTTTAATCCCACAGTGAGATTAGAAGCCAGAGACGGGTGGATCTCTGTGAGTTTGAGACCAGCCTGGTCTACACGGTGAGTTCCAGGACAGGCAGTAATACACAGAGAAACCTTGTCTCGAACAAAACAAAACAAAAGAAAAGAAAAAGAAAAAACAACCAAAAAAAGAACCAATTAAGATAACCAGACAGGCTAGGAGTGATGTTACATGCTTTTAGTCCCAGCAACCAGGAGGCAGAAGCAGGTGGGTAACATAGAGAAACACTGTCTCAACCACCAGTCCCCTACCTGCTTTGGAAAAAAAAAAAAGCGAGTAGAGAGAGTGAGGCAGGCAGGCATGGGTGAGTCAAGCTTGTAACTGTAGAGAGGAGAGATGAGAACACTATGTAGCCAACCTGGGCTACATGGTAAGTTCCTGGACAGTCTGGGCTATGGAAACATAGTCTCAAAACAAACAAAAAAACCGAGTCATTTTTAAAAGGAAAAAAGAAGTCTGTTTCCAGGGTGAGATCCCACCCAAGACTGCTGCAGTACCTTACAACAAAGCACAAGCACATCCATGCTCACAAGAATCGGAAATGGAGGAATACCAGGGGCACCCGGCATGGTGGCTTATGTTTGTGATTCTAGCACACTCGGGAGGCAGAAGCAAGAATCACAGCAAGTTCAAGTTCAGCCTGGGCTACGAATGCAAAGTCAAGCAACAAAGCCACAGAAAGAAGCGGTGCGCTATGCTGTACAGAGGTAAGGCTGGTGAAAACGGCGGTCTCCAGGTGGTCTCCTACCCCCTACCATCGGCCGAGGTGGGGGTCTGCACCACACTTGTCTGCTGTCCTGGCACTGGAGCCCTCGCACTGCTGATCAGAAGGTCAAACTTGGTGCTCCTGCAGGTGTTGGAGCAAACTTTGTCATGCTGGTAAAAATCGATCTGTCCAGAGTCCATCATCTTCCTGTACAGAAGGAAACAAGGGCAGGTCAGCCTGCATTTCACCTTTGAGAAGTAGGACAGAGGAGCAGGTGGGGACAATCTTGCTGAGTGCATGACAAAGATTAGAGAAGCCTAATCATGTCTGAGGTCATCAAATTCTAAAAATTCTTGTTGGAATTACAAACATCTGCTGGCCGCACCCACATTCACTACTACTTTTCTGAGTTTGTGGAGTACCCATGTTCTTCACCACACTGCAGATCCTTAGTGAAGGATGTCAGGAATGTCATTAACACCAAACCTGACAGTCCCAGCACATGGGAGGCAGAGGCTATGTGAGTTCAAGGCCAATCTGTTCTATATAACAAGTTCCAGGCTATCCCAGGCTACAAAGTAATGCCCTGTCTCAGAAACAAACAAACAAACAAACAAACAAACAATAAAACACCTCTGAGATGAGAATGTTGGTGTATATCTCAGCTCAACTAAGACGTGCAGAATTAGGATTCTGAAAGAGATCCTGATGAATTAGTATTCCTAGACCTGGCTGGCCTCAATTGACTGTGTTACATAGGACAGTCTTAAGCCCGATTCCTGTCTCCACCTCTTAGTAACCGACAAAATTTATTTTACTACTTTATTGCCACTTTTTTTTTTTTTTTTTTTTTTTTTTTTTTTTTTTTTTTTTTGGTTTTTTGAGACAGGGTTTCTCTGTGTAGCCCTGGCTGTCCTGGAACTCACTCTGTAGACCAGGCTGGCCTCGAACTCAGAAATCCGCCTGCCTCTGCCTCCCAAGTGCTCAGATTAAAGGCGTGAGCCACCACCACCCGGCTATTGCCACTTTTAGAGATATAACATTTCAGAAGACAGAGAGGCAGAGAGAGGAATAAAAGAGGAAAGGAATAAAGTAACGGGGTTACATTCTAGCTGCTAGAAGGTATGACACAGGGCTGGAGAGATGGCTCAGCATTTAAAAGCACTGACTGCTCTTCCAGAGGTCCTGAGTTCAATTCCCAGCAACCACATGGGGGCTCACAACCATCTGTAATGGAATCTGATACCCTCTTCTGATGTGTCTGAAGACAGTGACGGGTACTCACAAATGTAAAATAAATAGATCTTAAAAAAAAAAAAATCCAATAAAAACTAAGTAAAATTTATAAAATTAAGAAATCTCTAAGGTTGTGTTTGCCGAGCAGTGGTGGCACACGCCTTTAATCCCAGCACTTAGGAGGCCAAGGCAGGTGGATTTCTGAGTTCGAGGCCAGCCTGGTCTACAGAGTGAGTTCCAGGACAGTCAGGGCTACACAGAGAAACCCTGCCTGGAAAAACCAAAAAAAAAAAAAAAAGTCTCCTAGGAATAGTGTACAACACTGATGATCTAACATTCCTTCTGGAAAATACCTCTGGAACGAGACTCATGAGCCCCTGCTATTACAGACCCTGAGAAAACCCAGGAAGCATGCTAATTATAGTACACTCTACGTCATCAGGAAGCATTTTAATTATACTACAATCTATACCATCCTGTCATCTGGCTTCCACTAACAGAGATCTTTGGGCATTCCAAGTCCTCTTAACATTTGTGGGAAATGGGCACATGTTTGTCTTCCTGAACATAAAGTAAGTCAAGAAGAACAGAACAGAACAGTAAGGAAAGCCATTCCTTTCAAACTATATAACAGACCCAGGCCTGTGCTCTGCTGAGGGTGAGTCTCCACCACTGAGAAACTGTGCCCAATGGAACCAACTCCTTGTCTGTCTTTTATTTCTACACAGGGTCTCTTTCTGTAGACCATATTACTCTGGAACTTGTTATGTAGTCCTGCTTTACCTTAAAGTTGAGATCTTCCTGTCTCTGCCTCCCAAGTGTTGAAATTAAGGGTATACTCACACCTAGCTGGGCACGATTAACTCTTGACCTTAATTTTTTTTCTTTTTAGAATTTTATGTGTATGGGTGCATTGCTTGCATATGTGTCTATGAAGTATTTGCATACTAGTTTCTGTGAATGCTAAGAGAAGGTGCTGGATCCCTTGGAACCAGAGTTACAGACAGTTGTGAGCTGCTATGTGGATGCTGGGAACTGACCCAGATCCTCTGGCAGAGCAGGCAGCACTCTTAACAGCTGAGTCATCTCTATAGTTCCACTCCTTGCATTGAAATTTTTTCTATCAGAAGGTGAACATTCAAAAAATACTAATGCATTCAAGAGGGAAAACCACAACGCTAAACTTGTTGGAGAAAAAAAAAGTGTGGGTGGGCTCTACTTCACACACTGACACTTGTTTCTGTGATGGTCCCAGGGTCATGGCCATTGGACTTACTCAACACAGAGACTGCTGCCTCTATGTGAGGAGGACAGGGTGGATCTCTGCTGAGAAAGGATCCTGCTAACCTCCTGACATCAGCAGCCTTAGCCAGGCATGCTGTTGTCAGCTTTGGCTACACAGCAAGTTCAGGGCTCACCTGAACTAGAAAGAATAAAAAATTTGATGCAGATGCTGGGTTAGTTTGTTTCATTTAATAGTTATTTAGGTTGCTGTTAATATAAATTGATTGAAAAGTTAGGGCTTGCAGGGGTAACTCAGCGGTAGAGTGCTGACTTAGCAGGTACAAGGCCCTGGGTTACACCCCAAGTGACAAAGGAAGAAAAAGATTAAGACAGTTGACAAAAGTCAAACAGTATACACTGCTCAAGCTAACCCTACAGATAGGATACAAGTGTCAAGTTAAAGAGAAGACTCTCCCATGACTGAGTGCTTGTCGCCAGCACTTACCTGAGCATGATGCCACCTAGACGGATGGCTCTCTTCCAGTCCTTCAGAGTGGACTTGCCAGCCAGATGAACAAAATGCTTGGGGCTGATCAACTGATCATTGAACTGAAAAATCCAAAGTGGTCCAGTGTCAACACAGGTAGGTCAACAAGGAAAGAATGAAGTAATGCCCCCAGACAATGCCACAAGGCACATCAGTATTACTCAACCTCCTGACCTAGGTTACCAGACAGTATCCCTCTCTCGGTCCCTGTCCTTTCCAGGACAAAGTCACAGATGAGAGTGAAAACACACTAAATGGCATTTAAAACTCCATTCACATTTTAAAGCAGGGAGCTGGGTCTGGTGTTCTGCAGGTTGGTTAAGTAAACTGGAGAGATCTAAGAAGTGATAAAGACAGTCGGGCCAGGGAGATAAGTCACCACTCAAGGTGCTAACTGTGCAAGACTACACACAGAGTTCCATCCCAGAAACCACAGAAAAAGCAGATACAGTGAAACTATAGCTATAGTTCCAGCACCTTTTGTCTTGCTGTTTGAGACAGGGTTTCTCTGTGTAGCCCTGACTATCCTGGAACTCACTCTGTAGACCAGGCTGGGTCTACTCAGAGACCTTCTGCCTCGGCCTCCTGAGTGCTGGGTTAAAGGCCTGTACCACCACCATCTGTTTAGTTTCAGCACCTTATTATAAGATGGAACTCAGAGATAGAAGAATTCCCTAGAAACTAGACTGGTTAGATTGGAATACTTAGTAGAATACAGCAGAAGTCAGTCAGTCAGTCAGTCAGTCAGACACACACGCACACACACACACACACACCTGCACACACACTGGAGATACTTTTAAAGATTTAATCTTATATGTATGGGTGTTTTGCCTGCATATGTGTCTGTGCACCACATGCATGCAGTGCCCACAGAGTCTCAAAGGGGACAGATCCTGTAGAGGAGTGGTTCTTTCGAGACAGGGTTTCTGTGTACTCCTGGCTGTCCTGGAACTCATTCTGTAGACCAGGCTGGTGTTGAACTCAGAAATCCGCCTGCCTCTGCCTCCCAAGTGCTGGGATCAAAGGCGTGCGCCACCACCACCCAGCTAGAGGAATGGTTCTAATGCTTTGATTTAATCTGGACTCTGCGAATCTGGCACTAAAGATCCTTGTCCACAATTGGTTCTTGATCAATCAATAAAGATGCCAGCAGCCAATGGCTTGGCGGTAAGAGGCAGGACTTCCAGGTTCCCGCAGGCTAGGAGATACTTGGGCGAGAGGGAACAGGCTCAGAGCTACTGGAGATCTTAAGGGCAGCCCAAAAATGTCTTGGGCAGCAAGACCAATGGGCTTCACAGAAGGTAACTGGCCATCTAAGCTGAGGGCAGAGTTAGAGGTGTTGGGCTAATCATAAAGCTAGCCGCGGGCCGGGCGGTGGTGGCGCACGCCTTTAATCCCAGCACTTGGGAGGCAGAGGCAGGCGGATTTCTGAGTTCGAGGCTAGCCTGGTCTACCAAGTGAGTTCCAGGACAGCCAGCGCTACACAGAGAAACCCTGTCTCGATAAAACAAACAAACAAACAAACAAACAAACAAAAGCTAGCCGCGGGAGGCTTAGGAGATCCCACCCACTGAGCCAGTATGGCAGGTTAAAAATGACCTAACATGTATGTGTCTTTCATCTGTGGATCGGAGATAGCTCCTGGGCAGGTGTGTGCCTGTGACTCGCAAAGCGGAGCAGTAAAAACTACTGGCAACATATGGTGCCCAATATCACTGCTACAAGATCCCCTGATACTGGAGTTATGGACTGGTTCTGAACTGCCATGTGGGTGCTGGGAACTGATCCCAGGTTCTCTGGAAGAGCAGCCAGTGCTTTTAACCACCGCATCATTTCTCCAGCCCCCTAACTCATTACTTTTTAAAGATTCAAGATGTTAGAAAACGTTAAGTATACTAGAAACCAACTGCATAGCTTCAAAACTCCGAAACTCTTGACCTAGGCTGGTACCACTCAAAAGCCCCATGGTGATGACAACATACAGGGATCACTGTGGCTATAAGTGGAGGCAGAACAAACAACTACTTACAGATGCTCTTGGGAGATTTGTCTTTCTTTCTTTCTTTCTTTCTTTTTTTTTTTTTTTTTAGTTTATTTTTTCTTGAGATGGGGTCCACTGTGCAGTTCTGGCTGGGCTAGAACTTGATAAGTAAACCAGGCAGGCATTAACTTCACAGCAATCCACCTTCCTCTGCCTCCCAAGTGCTGGGATTAAAGGTGTGCGACACTATGCCTGGCTCTCATGAGATTTTTCATTTGTTTGTTTAGTTTGTGGGGCCAGGATTCATTATATAGCTCTGGCTGGTCTAGGGCTCCCTATGTCTAGACCAGGTTGGCCCTGAACTCACTGAGATCCACCTTCTTCTGCCTCCAAGTGGTGACATTAAAGGTGTGAGCCAGCCACTGTACCTTTTTGGGGGTTTTTTTGTTTGTTTTTCGAGACAGGGTTTCTCTTTATAGCCCGGGCTGTCCTGGAACTCACTCTGTAGACCAGGCTGGCCTCGAACTCAGAAATCTGAGTGCCTCTGCCTCCCAAGTGCTGGGATTAAAGGCGTGGTCCACCACTGCCTGGCCCCTTTTTGGTTTCTTAAGACAGAGTCTGTAGTGAGAATTTTGGAGTTTTGGTTTCTCTAAAAACACAGAAATATTGTAAGACTATGTTTTCATTTTAATCCCACATGTGGAATACGGGGCTGCTTCAGATTGTCCACAGCAGCTGACTATGATTTGCCTCCTGCTCTGGTAGAGCTTGATTTTGCCAGCTACAGATAGTTTCTGTGTTTGTGTTGTTTGGAATTCTGGGGACTTTTCAGAGGGTACATAAATGCTAGGGCCTTGATAGGTGGGTTGTTGTTGGTCTCAGTTTGTTAAATAGTCATGCACAAAGAAGAAACAAGAAGAAAAAATTAGATACCCTGATGGCAAAGATCAAACTTGCCCCAAGGACTCGATGCCCCTAACCAGCAGGAGGAAGTTGTCTACTGATGCGTCACCCCCTTTCCAACCTGATTTATTCAGGAACCTCTTTCCCTTTCTCTCTCTTATTTAGTGTTAGGAGGCTTAAAAGGGTGATGAAAGGTAGAAGAAAGAGGAATTCACAAAGCAGCAGAAGACTGGCTGACTTCAGGGTCCCACTCATTAGTTATCTCCTGCCCACAGACTCAAACCGATCCTTCTGCCTCCATGATGGGTGACAGTCATGACATACTTCACCTGCTTTTTTAAGATTTATTTATTTATTATGTATATAGTGTTCTGTCTGAATGTATGCCTGTAGGTCAGAAGAGGACATCAGATCTCATTACAGATGGTTGTGAGCCACCATGTGGTTGCTGGGAATTGAACTCAGGACCTCTGGAAGAACAGCCAGTGCTCTTAACGTCTGAGCCATCTCTCCAGGCCACATCTGCTTATTCTTGTCAATAACAATTAAAATAAGGCTATTATGCTGCATAACAGTTCTAGGCCCGCTGCATATGATTTCATTCACTACAGCACAGTGTATATGCTGTGTAATATGTATGTACATTTATGTGTAAGCATACTGATGAGAATGATTGCTATTTTAAGTCATGAGACTCTGAAGATTTTTTGGAGACAGGATTTTTCTGTGTAGCCCCAGCTATCCTGGAACTCCCAGACTGGTCTCAAACTCACAGAGATCTGCCTGCTTCTGCCTCCCAAGTGCTGGGATTAAAGTTGTACACCACAATGCCTGGTGAGGCTCAAAACCACATGGATAGGCAGACATAGAGAAGAATTCTGACCATTCACTCATTGTTGAACAAGTACTTATCAAACACTGTTATCTATTAGGGACCACACAGGGACAGCCCTGTGCTGTACAAGGTCCTGTCACTACTAGAAGGCATCATACTATGTTCTAGGTTTAACTCCATGAAAACAGACAATGGTAGGGCAGTGGTGGTGCACGCCTTTAATCCCAGCACTTGGGAGGCAGAGGCGGGTGGATTTCTGAGTTCGAGGCCAGCCTGGTCTACAGAGAGAGTTCCAGGACAGCCAGGGCTAACAGAGAAACCCTGTCTCGAAGACAAACAAACAAACAAATCGGAAGGGCCTGCCTGTCAGTGAAGTTCTAAGAGAGTGTGTTGTTGGATAGCATCTCACTCTGTAAACCAGCCTGGTTGCCTCTGCATTACAAGTGCTACAATTAACGGCGTGTCTACTATGCCAGGCTGGGGATGTATATTTTGATGTGGGCACAGCCATGCCGAGGAAGCTCAAAGCCTCAGATCATGGGGCAATTGGTAAAGTCTTTACCCATTATGGTTCAGGCTCACGCGTCCCAATACGAATGAGTGCTTATGAATAATTGATCAGTGTGAGCAAAGACCACCAATGGTAGCTTCCCTCTCTGAGATGTTTCCAGCTTAAGATTGTTCACCCACAGAAACCTGCTCCCAAGACTAGCTAACCTCTCCCTCTGTCCTGAGGTTCCAGGTAGCAGTTAAGAGAGCCCCATCTGACCCAGCTTTATATCCATGTGGCTGTCCTTTCTTCCCTCTCGATGACCCTGGCCAGGGTTCCAGAACCCAAGTCACACAGGAGGAGCAGCAGCTGTGCTGCCAAGCCTGCCACGCAGAGTTCAGTCCTCAGATGAATCCGCATGGTGAAAGACAGGACAGAGGGTGGCTGATGTGGTGAGAGAGAGAGAGAGATAAGGCACTGAAGGCAAACCTCAAGATAGGAACAATTACCTTGACACACTTCACATTTATTCCTGGACACACGAACTTCTTCCAGAGGAGGACAGCTTTACTCTCTCCACAGGTTATAGGGTAAGCGATTTCCATGTCCTCATTAGCGTCTATACTGCTTGCATCTAAAATGGAACGGAATCTCTTATTACTGAATAACTCCTTCCTAAACTCAAGTTTAGGATATGTATAGTTTTGGGGGTTCCTTTCAGACCACAGTTTTGTTTTGTTTTCTTTTTCCTCTTCTTTGGAGAGGGTCTCATGTAGCCCAGGCTGGCCTTGGACTGAGTATATAGCAATGATGATCTCGGAACGTGGACACTGCACTCTACCAACAGGACCTATAGCCCCAGCACCAACAGGACAGACACTCTTTATTTATTTTTTATTTTTTATTTTATGTGCATGGGCACCTACATGCAAGTCTGTACACCGCTTGTCTGTGTGATGCCTTTATAGACCAGAAGAAATCACTGGATCCCCTGGAACTGGAGTTATTATGGTTGTGAGCTGCCATGTGAGTGCTGGGAATCTAAGCCAGGTCCTTACAGCTTACTGAAGATTATTAACTATTGGGGCTGAAGAGATGACTTCCACATGTCCTAAGTTCAATTCCCAGGAACCACATGGTGGCTCACAACCATCTGTAATGGGATCCGATGCCCTCTTCTGGTGTGTCTGAAGACAGCTATAGTGTACACACATACATTAAAAAAAAAAAAAAAGAAAGAAAGAAATCTTTTTTTAAAAAATGATTATTAACTACTTAATCTCTCCAGCCCCAAGAATACTTGTAAAGTTTGACATAATGGCTATGTCTTATTGGGGGAAGCATGGTGCCATGCCTGTAGAGATCAGAAAACAACTCGAGAGTGTCTGTTCTCTTCTTCCACCTTCATGTGGGTTCTGGGGATTGAACTCACTTGCAGGTTTGCCTCCTTACATGGCAAGTACTTTTTATCTGCTGTGCCATCTCTCCGGCCCCTCAGATTCTCTTGTTTTGTATATTGTTGGGGATCAAACCCAGGGCTAGTTAAGTGTTGTACCATTGAACAATATGGCCAACCGTACCATAAACCTTTTGGTTTAATATTCTAATTCCTTTGTTTGTTTGTTTTCTGATACAGGGCCTTGTGTCCCTCAAGCTGCTATGGCCTTTTCATGTAGCCAAGGGTGATCTTGCTGCCACTATTTCCAAAGTACCAGGATTACAGACATGAGACAACACACCCAGAATTTTTAGTTCTTCCTATAATTGTTTGAGATAGGAACTACTTCCTATGTTTGACATATAAATATATGAACTTAAGAAAGAAGAGTTTCTGAAGAACACACAGTGAAATGTAAGAAAAGTCGGATTTGCTTAGTTTCTAAGTTTCCTTCCATTGACAAATTCCCAGCTAATACAGTACCTCTTCAGTCGTCACCGTCAGCCTCACTTAATGACAGGGATCAACCTGCAGACTCCCGATTCTTTGTGGGATCTTTTATGTTTAAAGACAAAGTCTTGTTGTATAGCCCAACTTTAAAGACAAAGTCTTGTTGTATAGCCCAACCTCAAATACAACCTTCCTGTCTCAGGCTCCCAGCCGTTTACAGGTATGCCTCACTGTGATGTGTGGGTAGTGGAAGTGGGGACAGATGACTAAAAATTCAATTTAGGTCCTTGCATATTGGAGGCAAGCATTTTACTACTGACTTTATGTCCCTGATCTGGCTTTGAACTAGCTCTACAGCACAGATTGGCCCTAAACTTGTGATTCTTTTGCTTCAACTGCCCAAATAGCTAGACTTCAAATCCACATCTCAGGCCCCATGTTCAATGATTTTTTTTTTGTTTTTTTTTGTTTTTGTTTTTCGAAACAGGGTTTCTCTGCGTAGCCCTGGCTGTCCTGGAACTCACTCTGTAGACCAGGCTAGCCTCGAACTCTCGAACTCAGAAATCCGCCTGCCTCTGCCTCCCAAGTGCTGGGATTAAAGGCGTGCGCCACCACCGCCTGGCTCAATCATTTATTTTTAATTTGTTTGTTTCCCCCTCAATGGTGCTTAGGGATCTCACATAGAGTCTAAGCTAAGCATTTTACCCCATCTCTTTGTAGGATTTGTTTTAGACAAAACAAACAAACAAACTTTTTGACTACTATAGTATATTAAGTGATCAAGATCAAGGTCTGCTATCTTTTTGTTTGTTTGTTTTTTGGTACTGTTTTGTTGAGACAGAATTTTTCTGTATAATCCTGGCTGTCCTGGAACTTGCTCAGTAGACCAGGCTGGCCTCAAACTCCCTAGTGCTAGGATTAAAGGCATGTTCCACCATGCCTGCCAAGTCTGCCATCTTAGCTGGTATTATCATTTGGTACACTGGATTGGTTGGGACAGAAAATAGGCACTAAAGACCAGAAATCACAGGCTGGGGACATAGCTTAGTAGTGAACCACCTGTTGGCTTGGACAAGATCCTGGGTTCCATCACCAGGGATTTCAAAGGAAAAATATATAGAAACTCTCAAAACATACAGAAGCTGAAGTGTTGTGGATAGCCCTGGTCTTCTATCATGAAGCTAATCCCGCTTTGCCAGGAGGGGCTGCAGAGGAGGAGTGAATCAGTATACAGGTGACTTGTTGTGAACTTTCTGCCTACTTTAATTTATAAAATAAAGGCCAGAACCGGTGATTGGGGAGAGAAGGGGAAGTGGAGCGGAAAAAGTTTGGAGGAGAAGAGAAAGACGAACAAAGGAGAGAGAGGTGGAAGGACAATGGAGGAGAAGCAAGTGGCCTGGAAAAACCCAAGTTATAAGGGATCTTAGAGCTGGGGAATGGAGTAGTGTAGTGGTGAATCTGCCCAATCCAGGCATGCAGCTTGTATTCATAATTACTGAGTTGTGTTCTCACTGATCAGGCTTACCTGGGTTTACTGCAGCACTGAAGTCAAAGGTACTGAATAGAATGGCAGACTTACCAATTCCTTCTTCGAGTTTGTGTATCGTGTGGGCCTCTACAGCTACAACTGCTGCGCTGTTCTCTGACCCGGCTTCATAAATCCTGTAGTAAAAGTGCCCATCAATAAAGAAACTACATAAGTCATGAAAAAAATTAATATTCCTAGCACGGGGTTAAGACATTTGTTTTAATCTATCTGAAAACGGAATAAAATAAGTGTTATTTTACAACCTGACAAGTTTTCCACTGTAAACTCCAAGAGGCCCAGACCACTTAGTGGTTACTGGCCGGGAAGATGAAACGCACCTCACCTCACCCCAAGTAGATGACTCTTGCTGACTCTTGCTACACTTCCTTTGCTACTGTATTACATGGACCCTTTCTTTCATAACATTAAAGATTTGTGTAACTTATGTGTAGAAAGCTGTGTGATTGCTTACATTCATGTACATGTGTATGTATGTGTGCACATGCATGCACCTACAGAAAATAGGAGGGGATGTCAGAAACCCTGGAGCTGGAGTTACAGGTGGGTGGGAGCTGCCTGCCTAATGTGGGTGTTGGGAGCCAGACTTGGGTCCTCTGGAAGAGCAACACATTCTCTTCACCTGCTGAGCCATCTCTCCAGCCCTTCCTCAATAGCTGAAGGGCAGGTTCTCACCTTCCTTTCGCTGTAGCCCTCTACTCTAACACAGCTACTAATGCTGTGGTGACCCCCAACCATAAAATTATCTCCTTGATACTTCATAACTTTGCTACTGGTATGAATTATAGTGTAAATTTCTATATTTTCCGATAGTCTTAGGCAACCCCTATGAAAGGGTTGTTCAACCTCCAAAGGGGTCTTGACCCACAGGTTGAGAACCACTGCTTAAAATGCTCAAGATACAGTAAGTATTGCTTCAAGTATAGGACAGGCCTGTTCATAAAATTCACCTGACTAAAATAGAACCAGCAGACAGCTTGAGACAGGAAATGGCCTGATGACCCAGAAATGGATGACCCTTGCTGAAATCTAAACATTATAGAGTTGGGATTTATTTATTTATTTATTTTTAGCATTTTAGTCTCTCAGAAGCAAATTATTGGCTTAAACCAAACATGAACCTGCCCCGGGTACCCAGCAATCACCAGAGACACCACTAAATGGGAGGTTATACACTCTGTCTAAGGCCACACCACAATGAACACAACCTCTCTCATGTGCTCTTTGAAGCTAATCAGGGCTGGGCCTATTTGGACTCTGATGAAATAGGTTAGGTAAAGCAAATCTTCCCCAATGCCTCTACATTCAGATGACCTAACATGCCACACAAATGTCCTCTCTTCCCTCTCTCTCAGCAGCCTCGTGCACTGGCTCACAGACACTGGTATCTGAAGCAATGCCTGTCCTCTCTTCTCTGCAGATGCTGATTCAGCGCCGTGGTGGCACCTCTACTGTGCAGCCCTCCCTTTGAATGAATTATGTTTGCAATAATCACCATGCTACTTCTATTCCTGAGCTGAGTGTAATGTCACACGCCTGCCATCCCAGCACATGAGACATAGAGGCAGGAGGGTCAGGAGTTCTAGGTCAACCTGGAATACAAGACACTGTCCCAATAAACAAACCCAAACAATTCAGAAACCATTGTCTTGTCTCGTGTTCCACGTCCCTGTAAGGGGTGTCAGCCTGTACACTGCATGGGGCTGGGCACTGCACTAGACCTCTTCCTCTCTTTCCTGCTCTGGTGAAGTGGTAATTGTTTCTATTTCTTTCCCTTTCTTTTGTACAGTGGACATTAAACTAGACCCTTATACTTGGTAGATAGGTACTCTGTCACTAAATTGCATACACAGTTCGTCTACTAATTTTCTGATTTTTTTCCCTCAGTTCCAACAGCTGTCAAATCTTGCCAGAAAGATCTCTTTAACTCAGGTGTCCTCCCTGCCTCTAGTGCCATTGCTGCTACTTTGACAAGGGCCTCATTATGTCTACCCTCGAAGAGCTTGTCCAGACTCTCATCAATCCTGTATACGCCTACCAGAGTAATCATGTGGTTCTCCTCCTTAAAACACTCAAAATTTTGGGTTTCTTTGTATTTGCAGTTCTAGGGACTAAACCCAGAACCTCTCACATACTAGCCCAGGGTTCTACCCTTGAGCTAAATTGCTATTTATTTTTTTCGTCTCTTACTTTTTATTTTGAGACAAGATCATAATAAGTTGCCTAGGCTGGCCTCAAATTCAAATGATCCTTTTGCTTCAGACTCCACAGTGCTGAAATTACAGGCAGTGTCATCATACCCAGCTCCCATTGTTGGGTTCATTTTTTAGTTTTTCCATTGCTAGGGATAATACTCAGGATTGCCTGGAAGTGGTGGCAAACAACTTGAATCCCAGGCCTTGGGAGGCAGGGGCAGCCTGGTTTACAGAGTGAGCTCCAGGATAGGCATGGCTATACAGAGAAACCTGTCTTGAAAATACACACACACACACACACAAAACCCCACACTAAAACAACAGCAACAACAACAAATCCACCTGAGGCCCTCCTGCTCAGAACCAGGCAGGCACTGAACTGACTGAGCTCAAGCCTCCAGCTGTCTTCATAAGCAGTCTGCAGATCACGTGCTCATGACAGCCACTGATGTTGAGGGAGCATGAGGAGACTTAGAGGAGGAAGAGTCAGCAGTCTTTCTCCAGACAGGTGTTTCATCTGCCTCAGGAGACCAGCAGCGCCACCACAGGCACGATGGTGAAGCTCACTCTGGAAATGGACATCAGCCAGACTCCACCCTATGCTCTAAATCACTAGTCTTCAGGATAAACTCTGTCATACTCTTCCTACTGAATGCCTTCCTAGTGTGTTACTGACTGTAAAACATATCCTTCCATACTGATAATTACTTGAACCAAAATGTCAGTCTTCTCCCTGGGTAGTGGTGACTTGTGCCTTTAATCCCAGCAGAGGCAAGCAGATCTCTGTGAGTTCAAAGCCAGCCTGGTCTACAGCTCTAGAATACCCAGGGCTGTTACACAAACCCTGCCTCAAAAAAATTTGTTATCTCAAGAGTACAATGTTTCAGGAAAAGCAAACTCAGGAGCACATGCTGCCCAGGACTCACTAAGATGTCAGCTTATTTGGTTCAGGTGTACCTGTAACAGTCGCATGTTCTCAGCTACTGATAGTTTTCAGGTATTACCCAAGTATCTGATGAAGACTCTGAGCTAAGGATTTGGTTATTTTCTGTATAAGTCAGTTATTGATTCTATGCAATGAAAAAGGAGAACCAAGCCAAGCAGTGGTGGTGCTTTAATCCCAGCACTCAGGAGGCAGAGGCAGATAGATCTCTGAGGCTGAGGCCAGCCTGCTGTACAGAGTGAGTTCCAGGACAGCTGAGTGCTGAGGTTAAGTCTACACTAGCTAGCTTTATGTTTGATGTGTTGCCAAAGTGTCTGGATTCTGAATATAATTTTAATGGTTGTTATAAAACCGTATGAACAAACCAAGTTAAAAACTGCTAATTAAAAAATAATAACAAAGGTTGGAAACATGGTGCAGCAGTTAAAAAAAATTAGCTGCGCCGGGCGGTGGTGGCGCACGCCTTTAATCCCAGCACTTGGGAGGCAGAGGCAGGCGGATTTCTGAGTTCGCGGCCAGCCTGGTCTACCAAGTGAGTTCCAGGACAGCCAGGGCTACACAGAGAAACCCTGTCTTGAAAAACCAAAAAAAAAAAAAAAAAAAAATTAGCTGCTCTTGCAGAGGACTGAGTTCAATTCCCAGCACCCACATGATGCCTTACAACTGACTGTGACTCCAGTTCCAGGGAATCTGACACCTCACACAGACATACTTGCAGGCAAAATACTAATGAACAGGAAATAAAAATAAATCATTAAAATAAATAGAAGACACTTTCCTTCTACCTACTGCTCCCAGGCTAATCCCCCATCTCTCTTTTGGTATGATACTCTCTCTTTTTTTTGTTTTGTTTTGTTTTATTTTTCGAGACAGGGTTTCTCTGTGTAGTCCTAGCTGTCCTGGAACTCACTCTGTAGACCAGGCTGGCCTCAAACTCAGAAATCCGCCTGCCTCTGCCTCCCAAGTGCTGGGATTAAAGGCGTGCACCACCACCGCCCGGCCTGGTATGACACTCTTGATCTCTGGTTACAGCACATTTGGTATTTAATAAAACATTCTCAGGGCCGGACAGATGGCTAAGTGGCTAAGGGCTCTGGTCCTGAAAGGACCCATATTCTGTTCCCAGCACTCACTCAGTAGCTCACAATCTTTGGTAAATCCAGTTTCAGGGTATCTGGTGCTTCCTTCTGACCTCCAAGGCCATCAAGCATGTATACGGTACCTATACATAATGTCAGCAAAAGAATAAAATGTAAAAAACCAAATTCTTATTGATCTCTGTCTCCCCAAGAGATGCTCTAGATTAAATATGTTCATTTGTTCACTACCGTGTGCCTGACATTTCATAAACCAACATGGCAACATAACAGCTTCAGTAAATAGTTCTTTAATGAATAAGGAAATGAGCTGGAGATAAGAAAACAGTGCTTAAAATAAAATATGAAAACTACTGGGCATGATGGCTCAAGTCTGTAATCCAGCACCAAGAAAGCTAAGGCAGGAGGACTGCATCAAGTTTGAGGCCAGCCTGAGCTACACAATAAGATCAAATGTCAGAAGAATAGAATAGGGAGTTGGAGAGCTGGCTCAGTAGTTAAAAGCACTGACTGCTCTTCCAAAGAACCTGCGTTTTTTGACTTATTTTATTTTGTTTTTCTGACTGCATACATTCACTTCATAGATTTAGCGGTCCGGGAACTCACCATGTAGACCAGGCTGGGCTTGAACTCACAGACTGCCTCTGTCTCCTGAATGCTGGGGCTAAAGGTATTTATCATCATGCTCAGCTAACAACCTGCATTTAAATCCCAGCACCTAAATACTAGTTAAGAAACATCTCTAATTCTGTGAACACAGCACACAGGTGGTGTTCAAACATACATCCTGCCAAAACATTTATACACATAAAAAATTAACAAACAAAAATCAGTAACACCAACAAAAAGAAAACACAGACTACTCATTATGGATTACTATGAATTCAAAATGCCTGGAAAGTCAGAAATGGTGACAGAATCTTGGTCCCTTCATTTCCTCTGAGCTCTCTAAAAATGTTGTAAAAGAGATTTATTTGAAAAATTAAGCCGGGCAGTGGTGGCACATGCCTTTAATCCCAGCACTTGGGAGGCAGAGGCAGGCGGATTTCTGAGTTCGAGGCCAGCCTGGTCTACAGAGTGAGTTCCAGGACATCCCAGGCTATACAGAGAAACCCTGTCTCAAAAAACCAAAAAAAAAAAAAAAAAAGGAAAGTCAACCCATTAATATAAAAGTATCCCCGTATACACTGCCAGCGTCTCTGTGTACCCATGGGAAGCTATTTCAGCCTGCCTCTGCTGCCTAATGCATTCCTGCAAACATGGACATAATAAACACCTGGCAAAGTACAAATGTAAGTCAAGTTTAGTACTGTATGCCTGTAATTCCAACACTGGGGAAGCTGAGACAGGAGGATTTCTAGTTTGAGGTTGGCATAGGCTTTGTAGTGAGTCAAGGACAGCTGGAGATCTTACTTTCATAAAAGACATGGCTCTGAGGTTAAAAACACTGCCTGCTCCCAGAGGACCCACCCATGGCTGTTGGCTCAAACTGAGTATCTCCAGCTCCAGGATCTGATGCCCTCTTCTGGTCTCCACATGCACCTACACGTGTGCACATTCCCATGCAACGATACACTCGAAAATTTAAGAAGTAATTTAAGAATTACAAAAAGCAGAGGCAGCATTTTACACCCAAATACTAGCATTCGAGGGATAGAGGCAGAAGGGTCTGGGATACAAGACAATTCTGCGTTACCTAACAAGACTGTCTCAGAGAAAGAGACAAGCGAAGAAAGCATCAGTATCAAACTCTTCTGACAGTCTCCGTTCGCCCGCGCTCTCAGCTCCAGAACCAGCTTACCCACCATGTGTCACCATGACACAAGTTCCTTTTCCTTTCTTTTTTTTCCTTTTGGGTCCAGTTACACCTTAGCTTTTGTTGGTTCTATTTTTGTGATTTTAAAAAGTGATTTACTTTTATAGGTAAATACCTGTATGCATGTGTACACACCACATACATACTGCGCCCACTGCTTTGAAAACGCTAGGAGTGGAATCAGGGTCCCCCTTCAAGAGCAGTCAGCATTCTTAACTGCTAAGTCATTTCTCCAGGCTGTTTGTGTGTGTGTGTGTATGTGTCTGTGTAAAATATATTATATGTGTGTGTGCATGCGTGTTGTATGTGTTATGTGTGTGTATATTTTGTTTTTTGAGACAGTTTCTCTGTGTAGTTGATTGCATTAGAGCTAGCTCTGTAGACCAGGCTACCCTTGAACTCATAAAAGTAAACCTACCTCTGCCTTCTGAGTGCTGGGATTAAAAGTGTGTGCCACCTCCTGCCCTAATTATATATAACACACACACGTATATATGTATGTATGTGTGCATGTACATGTATATGTGTGTGTGCGTATACACACACGCACATATAATTTCCAAGACATATGTTTTCCAAGACAGGGATTTTTTTGTGTAGCCCTGGCTGTCCTGGAACTCACTCTGTAGAATAGGCTGGCTTTGAACTACAGAAATCTGCCTGCTTCTGACTCCCAAGTGCTGGGACTAAAGACATGTGCCCCGACCACGAGGCTTTTTTTTTTTAATTACCTCTTTAAAGTTAGGCATGGAAGCACCACACACCTATCATCTCAACACTGAAGAGGCTAAGGGAGAAGGATGGTGAACTTGAGTCCAATCTGGGCTACATAACAAGACCTTGTCTCAAAAAAATAAAGAAAAAGAAACGAAGGAAGACAGACCAACCACTACCATCAACTTACCTCCTCCAGGGTTTTTCTGTGTAGCCCTGACTGTTCTGGAACTTGCTCTATAAACCAGACTGACCTCCAAATGAAGAGATCTACCTGCCTCTGCCTTCCAAGTGCTGGGATCAAAGGAGTGTGAGACCACTGCCCAGCCCAAAGAAAAGCTCAAGTTCTTTTTTGTTTGTTTGTTTGTTTTTGTTTTGTTTTGTTTTGTTTTTTTTCGAGACAGGGTTTCTCTGTATAGCCCTGGCTGTCCTGGAACTCACTCTGTAGACCAGGCTGGCCTTGAATTCAGAAATCCACCTGCCTCTGCCTCCCAAGTACTGGGATTAAAGGTGTGCGCCACCACCGTCCGGCAGAAAAGCTCAAGTTCTATCTTTTAGGGTTAGTATATAGGATAGCTCAGGGACAGATCACCTGTGCAGCATAAGAGAGGTTACGGGTTTGATCCTGGATGGTGCAAAGGCATTTTAGTCAACTTTCCTTTCTAACTGATAATGATCCACTCGTCCCTTCTTCGTCTTCACTACGTAAGGGACTCCATACTTAATCCATGCACTTTTGGCTTTTACAACTAGATTGCAGGCTCCATGCTGGCGAGGACCTTGTACTCTGTCTCCTCTAGCTTCGTGGTAGTGCATCCTTACGGTGATGGCGGTGGACAGATACTTTTGATAATGTGCTGGTCCAGGAGTGTTTGAGAGCTTATAGTAGAAATATTTTTGGATGTGCCTTTCTTAGTTTCTGAATCAACACCTGGGCCCTGTGCTAAACAGTGTGGACAGAGAAGATGAGGGAGCCATGTAACTCACCCTTGGAGAGCTCCCACTGTAAAGACAGAGAAGGACACTAGGAAACAGCTCTAGGATGACAGGACGAGTACCTATTACTGAGATGAGATCCAGCCAGCTCCAGCTGAAGCAAATGTTCATGCTGTACCTGTATTTTTTATTTTTATTTTTTTCCGAGGCAGGGTTTCTTGTATAGCCCTGGTTGTCCTGGAACTCACTCTGTAGACCAGGCTGGCCTCGAACTCAGAAATCCACCTGCCTCTGCCTCCCAAGTACTGGAAATAAAGGCTTGCACCACCACTGCCCAGCTATTTCCCAACCTTTAAACCTCTCAATAATAACTGTCTGGAATATCCACATCCCTAGCCACTCACCCTTGTTGCACAGGCTGCAACTGCAAGATCACTTGAGTTTTAGTGTCTTCTGGGTTCTCGCCTTCATTTCCTTCAGTGGGCACCACAACCACATCTCCCACTGGGACGCTCACTTCCGCATTGGCCATCTTTCACATGAAGTCAGCTAGCTGGGGCTGCTGCGGGGAACAAGAAGCATGAGTAACTTAACTTCATCTTGAAAGGGAAAGCTACGGGAGAGGAGCTCAAGATAAGGAACAGCTCGGAGTGCCCACAAACTGTCCTCTGCAAAGGATGAGAACTGAGAGGAGCTGACAGGCGCACACAGGCTCTTAGCATGTTTTCATAGACATATGACTCACCAGTGGTCTGCCAGAGCCAACTCTACCATCTCCTCTCAAGTTTAGAGAAATTAAATTGGTAGCCTGGGATCATCAGCACTGGGAGGGATCACATCAGCACAGAAATTAACAGCACTAGATCATACGATTTTGTTTTTATTCAGGGTTTTGTTTTGTTTTTTGAGACAGGGTCTCACTATGTAATGTTCTCTGACCTGGAAATCAATATCTAGACCAGGTTGGCTTCAAACTCGAAGATGAGTCTGCCTTTGCCTCCTGAGTTCTGGGATCAAAGAACTTTGCTCTTTGTTTTGGTTTTGAGAAGGGACTCTCAGTAAGTATTCCAGGCTAGCTCCAACGTGCTGATCCTTCCACCTCTGCCTCCTGAGTGCTGGCATTGCAAGCATGCACCATACCTGGCTTGTTTTTCTGTGGATCAAGTTACAGCATAGACTAGTTCCATCCCAAAGAGTGGCCCCTGGAAAGTAGGAATCATACCTATTTTAAGTGCAAGTAGCCATTACATATCAAGTATGTAATATTAGACACAATGCTCTATCCTTTTTTTTTTTTAAGATTTTTTTTTTTTTTAATGTATAGGGGTACACTGTAGCTGTCTTCAGCCATGCCAGAAGAGGGCATCAGATCCCATTAACAATGGTTGTGAGCCACCATGTGGTTGCTGGGAATTGAACTCAGGACTTCTAGAAGAGCAGTCAGTGCTCTTAACCGCTAAGCCATCTCACCAGCCCCATAGTGTTCTATCCTTAATAAACACTCAGTAAGCATCTGAATTTAGCTGCATAGCTGTTAATAGATACTGACTTCGCTGTCTTAAAAACCTATCTCTTGGGCTGGAGAAATGGCTCAGCCATTAAAGGCTAGGCTCACAATCAAAAAACCTATCTTTTTCTTTCTATTTATCTCTTTGACAGGGTTTCTCTGTGTAGCCCTGGCTGTTCTACAACTCAGATTCTAGACAAGGCTGGCCTCAAACTCAAGAGATCCTACAACTCATATATATATATATATATATATATATATATATATATATATATATATATACACGCTGAGCCGTGGTGGCGCATGCCTTTAATCCCAGCACTTGGGAGGCAGAGGCAGGTGGATTTCTGAGTTCAAGGCCAGCCTGGTCTACAAAGTGAGTTCCAGGACAGCCAGGGCTATCCAGAGAAACCCTGTCTAGAAAAAACAAAACCAAAAAGAAAAACAAGAAAAAAAATTGTTTTACATGCATTGGCGTTTTGCCCACATGAATGTCTGTGAGGGTGTGGAACCCAAGCCTCTGGAAGAGCAATCAGTGCTCTTAACCACTGAGCCCATCTTTCTAGTCCAGAACTTTTCTTTTAGAGACAAGGTCTCAAATTCAAAGCAATCCTTCTGCCTCAGCTTCAATGTGCTGGAATTACAGAGTATAAGTCACCAAGCCTGGCTCTAAGAACTTTGTTCTTTTTTTAATTTTTAGAGATGGAGTCTCAGGTTGTCCAGGCTGACTTGGACTGTCTCTGTAACTAATGACGACCTTGAACTCCTGATCGTCCTCTTCTACTGGGAGTGCTGGGACTAAGGTCAGCACCTCCACATGACTCACAGAAACAGATCAGCTGTCCACCGTGAATGGAGACGACTTTGTCTGACAGCTCCTCGCAGAGCTACTGAGGACACCACCACCAAGTACCATGTGCTCCTCGCAGAGCTACTGAGGACACCACCACCACGTACCATGTGCTCCTCGCGGAGCTACTGAGGACACCACCAAGTACCATGTGCCCCTTCAAGCTGAAGTACAGACCCTGTTTTTTGGTTTTTGTTTTAATTGTTGTTTGTATGTCTGTGTATTCGCCAAGGCATCCATGGAGAGGTCAGAGGACAAACCTGGAGTCAGCTCTCTCCTTCTGCCATGAGAGCCAGGCTTGCAATGGCAAGCACTTTTACCTACTGTGCCATTTTGCTGTCTCCATTGTCCCAATCTTTATGAAAACTCAAGAGGGTTTCAGGATATCCTGCAGCTGTTAGACTTCAGATCTCAGGAAAATTGTTGGTTTTTTTCAGTGCTAGGAACCCAAATCAGAGCCTTGTACATGGTGGGTAAGCGCTCTAACAATGAGCAGTCCTTTACACTACACTTGAAGTGGGTGGGGGGGGGGGGGGAACTAGGTGCTGTTACACTGGGAGACTGAATCCTGAAGATTAGGAAACATTTGAATACACCCAGAGATATATAATTTGAAGGCCAGCTTGTCTTGAAATAAAGAGGAAGAGGACAGAGAAGAGAAGGGAGGGAGTACAAGAAAATACACTGAATTTACTCCCTCAGTATATGTGGGTCTGTAAAGGTGACCAGGAGACAGCCATGTTGGTCATGGATTCAAACTGGAATGTGTAACTGATAGCCAGAGAACCAAGTCACTCCTCAGCTATGCCAGCCTTGTTTGCCTAAAATACACATACTTAACATGTCATTCAAAGCGGACCTCACTGGCCTCAGCATACTCCAGCTTTATCTACAGCATTAATCTCCAACCCTGTCAGCTACTGGCTGATATTAGTATGAACACATACTAATGTGTTTCCAGCACTCTAACCATTCTATTTTCTAAGCACCAGCGTAAAGCTACCATCCCTGCACTTTCTTTTCAGAATTTCCCCCCAAATGTGGCCTGTCACTCTCTCCTGCTGTTTGCACACTTCCCAGCACTTTGTCTTGAAAAATACACTGCCCAGTTACCTGTATAGACCTTAATAGCCTTAGCTGTCCTGTGCCCTCTTGTTTATTTGTTCTGCTGCTTCTAGGGATTGAACATGTCATAAAACACATGCTAATGTTCATGGCCCTATGTTCTACAACTCGTTGTTGTTGTTGTTTGTTTGTTGTTTTTCCAAGAAAGGGTTTCTCTGTGTAGCCCTGGCTATCCTGGAACTAACTCTATAGACCAGGCTAGTCTCTGCCTCCAGAGTGCTGGGATTAAGGCCCTTCATTCCTTTCTTAGTTTTTTTTTTTTTTTTTTTTTTTTTTTTGGTTTTTCGAGACAGGGTTTCTCTGTATAGCCCTGGCTGTCCTGGAACTCACTCTGTAGACCAGGCTGGCCCCGAACTCAGAAATCCGCCTGCCTCTGCCTCCCAAGTGCTGGGATTAAAGGCGTGCGCCACCAACGCCCGGCTTCTTTCTTAGTTTTTTGAAAGAGTTTTTCTGTGTATCCCTGGCTGTCCTGTAAGTCACTCTGTAAAACTGAACTCAAAAGACCTCCCAAGTGCTGGAATTAAGGGTGTGTATCACACCACCAAGTTTGTTCTTGGTTTTTCAAGACAAAGTAGTGTTATGTAGCTCAGACTAGCCTCAAATATCTGTCTCATCAGGCTCAGTGCTTAGGCACTGTTTTATTGAAACACTCTTGAGTCCCCATCACTCTCCTCAGCTTTGACACTGATAATGTGGATTCACCTTGTCATGTCCTGTCAAATTCCTTCTTCTCTGGCTTCTAATACAAAGTTTTTTTGTTTTTTTTTTTTTTTGGTTTTTCGACACAGGGTTTCTCTGTGTAGCGCTGGCTGTCCTGGAACTCACTGTGTAGACCAGGCTGGCCTCGAACTCAGAAATCCACCTGCCTCTGCCTCCCAAGTGCTGGGATTAGAGGCGTGCGCCACCACCGCCTGCCCTCCATGTGGTTTCAAAAGGAGGGAACTCAGGAATTATTTTTGTCTCCTCTCTCAAAATCCAATCAACCACAAAACCCTATACCCTATCCAATCTCCTGTGTGTGTGTGTGTGTGTGTGTGTGTGTGTGTTTGCGCGCGTGCACATATGTGTATTCTTCCCATTCTCCATCTGTGCTATCAACACTGTATGTATCTGGGATGTCACACTGTCACCTGGGTTTTCCAGCTATTTCTCTATATCCCAACCTTTGGTCTTAAGAGTCCTCCCATTCATTCCCCACATAACCTAAGTGATCCTACCAAAGGCCATGCCTTAATATGCACTCCTGTTGCTGTGAAAATAAAGTTCGAGCACTTCGCTGTGGCCTATAAAGTCTTGCCAATCAGCCCTCTTTTCAAAGCTGACAACTCAGCTCCTGTCACTGTTTTCCAGCTTTCAAACAGGTCACGTTTCCTAGACTGAGCCTCAGAACTAGCTTTCTGCCCCAAGGATTGTCCGTCCTTTCCTTCAGGCTAGTCTCTGTTAACCCTTTGAAGATATCTGTGGGAAGACCTTCGAGTGACTTCTTTCACTAGGTTTGAGCTTGTGCCCATTTCCCATCATGCTTTTCTTTCCTCTTTGGGTAAGAGGGGTCAGTGGGGGCTGTTGAGGATTGAGGTGAAAGCTCTTCTGCTTAGCTGTAAGTCAGGCTGTGTCTTCCCACAGCTTGTTTCTGCTGTGCTGGCCAGGCTGATCTCTAACTTCTGGGTCTGAGCGATCCTTCTACCACGGTCTCCAGAGTCATTCAACTATATAGGTTTACTAATTTTGGGGTGGCCTTGAAATTCACTGTGTCACTGAGGATGATCCTGAACTCCTGGTCCCCTTCCGTCCACTTCCCAGATGCTGGCATTCCAGATGTGTGCCACCGTGCTCAGCTTTACAGTACAGTTTAAGAAGAAACTCTCTGAATTTGTATAAAATAGTAGCACCTTAAGTCTGAAGCAGGGGCTGGAGAGATGTCTCATCAGGTGAGAACCCGTGTTCATCTTGTAGAGAGGACCCAGGTTGGATTCTCAACACCCACAGGGGCTCACACTCACCTTAACTCCAGTCCCAGAGGGGTTGATGCCCTTTTTGACTTTCCTAGGCACAAATGTGGCACATATACGTACATTTATTCAAAATATTCATATGTATAAAAAAAGAAAATAAACCTTTTGTCTTAGTTTTTGAGATAGAGTCTTGTATGTTGTTATAACTAGTTTTAAACTCACTAAATTAGGTTGGCCTCAAACAAGAAAATAAATCTTTTTTTTTCCCCAAGATTTTTTTTTCTATGTAGTCTTGGGTGTTATCCTGTCCTGGGACTCAATCTGTAGATCAAAGTGGCCTTGAACTCACAGACATCCACCTGCTTCTGCCTCCCAAGTGCAGGTTTTAGAGGCGTGTGCCACCAGGCTCAGATAAGAAAGTAAATATTAAAACAAATAAACAAACAAATCATTTGAGATAAAAATGTAACTCCTAAGAAAGATTTATTCCACCAAAAAAGGAAGAGAGTTTTAATTTTGGGAAATTGTGGGGAGACAGGAGGATGGGACAAGGCCTTGTTATCTAATAGCTGCCTGGCCTGGGACTCATCATGCAGCCCAAGGTAGCTCAAACTTCTAAGAATCCTATCGCCTTTGAGTAGTGGGACTATATGAGTTGAGTCAAAGACTGTCTTCAGGTACATACGGTTTCTCTGTGTAGCTCTGGCTATCATAAAACTCACTCTGTAGATTAGGCTGGTCTGGAACTCAGAGATCCGCTTGCCTCTGCCTCCAGAGTACTGGGATTAAAAGCATTCGCCATCACCCTCTACAAAATTTGTATTTTATTCCTTCCATACCTTGGAACCCAGGAGGAATGTTCTGACTTCTAACCATTGAGAATAAGAGTCACCTAGAACATGTTTTTAGTGACAGAGAAAAGTCCAGTTCAACAAGACAACTCATAACTCTTAGTAAAATGAAGTTTAGGTTCAATATGGTAAATATCACATTTCTAGTGAGTAACTCCAAACCAACAGCAGACTACGTGGCTAACTGCAGGGTCATCTCTTTAAGAAGTGTGAACACAAAACTGCCCCTTGTTTATAACAACACAAACTCCCGAGGTGAGACAAGGGAGCTGATCCCATAGGTATTTCACAGAAGAAGCCTTGCAATATCCCTCGTGAAATCACACCGTGTGCTCTGTAATTCTATGAGAACATACAAAAACATGACACAATTTTAAATAAAATTTAGTCAATTATGTGGAAAGAAGTATTGCAGGGGCAGTACAGCTCAGGGCAGAGGCTTGGCGTGAGCCATGGAGTCAATCTACAGGAGAAGAATGTTGGTCTGTACTTTGCTTTGTAGTCCTTGCTTTGTTTGGGGCTGGTCTCACCATGCAGCTGACCTTGTGCTGCTGAGCCTCCAGCTTCTACCTACCAAGCTCAGCAACTGCAGGCAAGAACCACCACATTCAGTTACGTGGGGTTTTTGAGACAAAAGTCTCACTAGGTAGTCCAGGCTGACTCAGTCTACAGAGAGCTGGGATTACAGATGCATGCTAATGGACTACTGCTCTGCAGTTATTTTCAGGACAAAAAAAAAAAAAGGCCTGGTTACCCGAGTTACATCTCTAGATCTCATTCATATAAAGGTTAAAGGAGAGAACCAACTCCATAAAACCCTCTGGCCTCTACCCACTGGCACACCACGCATGGCACATGTACCCCCTCCCAACATTATGCATACAGTGAGCAGGAAGCCAGACATAGTGGCACAAGTCTAACCCAGCACTCTGAGGGTGGAAGCAGGCAGGTTAGGGATTCAAGGTCATCCTCAGTTACATAAGGAGGCTGAGGCTACTGGAACCTTTGTCAAAAAGGGAGGGGGGGTGCCTGGCAAGATGGCTCGGAAGGTAAAGATAGGCTATTGTTGTCAAGCATGAATGTCTGAAGGACACACACAGAAGGAGGAATCAAATCCTGTGTTGTCCTCTGATCTCCACAAGTACACCACGGCAGACCAGCAGAGACAGACAGACAGACAGACACACACACACACACACACACACACACACACACACACACACACGAGTCACAGGAACATATCCATCTTTGTTGTTGTTTTGAGACACGGGTTCACTATATAGCCCTGGCTATCCTGGAACTTGCAATGTAGCAGGCCTCAAACTCAAGATATCTGCCTGCTTCTGCCTTACAAGTGAGTGAGGACAGAATTACAGGCATGTGCTCCCGTGCCAAGTAATACATCTAATTTTAAAATCTCAGCCCAGGAGAGGCAAAAGCAGAAAGATACGAAAAGTGTAAAGTCAGTCTGGTCTACATAGCAAGTTCCAGTCAAACCAGAGCTACAAAGTAAGATGCCAAGGGGAGGAAAAAAAAAAAAAAAGCGAGCACATATAACGACCTCCCACCTACATTCAAGCACCTGAGCATCACAGACAAGACTACCATAAGTTCAAAGCAGCCCAGGCTACATAGTGGATTCAAAGCTAGCATGGGAAACATAGTGAGCCCCAGTGTCTAATAACATACAGAACAACCTGGCATAGCTGGGAGGCAGAAGCAGGTGAATCTCATTGAGTTTGATGCCAGCCAGAACTATATAATGAGACCTTATCTCAAAAAGAAACAAACAAACAAACAAAAGCCGGGCAGTGATGGCACAGGCCTTTAATCCCAGCACTCATAAGGAGAGGCAGGTAAATCTCTTGAGTTCAAGGCCAGGCAGGTCTACGAGGATTTCAGGGCAGCCAGGACTACACAAAGATACCCTGTCTCAAATACCAAAATAATTCAAGGCCAGCGTCATCTGAAGAATGAGTTCCAGGGCACCCAGAGCCACGAAGAGAAACCCAGTCTCAAATAAGTAAATAAATAAATAACCAAAACCAACAAAAAAACAAGTCTCCAAGTTGCAACTTTATTACTTAAGCACAAAACTCACTAAGTCCACCCCTTTTCGTATGCACTTAGTAGTTGATCCAAAGTGAATTCAGATATAATGAACCCAAGGTCATTCCACAGAACCACTCTGCAGGAAGTATCGAGAGGAAATGAAGTTCTATATAAATCACAGATTGGAGGCTTCTATATAGGTGAGGTGTTTGGAGGAATCAAAGGATACGTTTTTTAAGTCACCCCTCTAGACTGTAAGAAATCAAAACAGGGCCCAAACCAACCCAACGAAGCTCACAGTAGCTTAATCAGTGAACTTGATTAAGTATAAATGAAAAACAAGTTTTATATGGTTGAAACATTAGAAGCAATAGGCCCAAGCTCTTATGAAAACGTTTCATAATACTAGCCAAGGAAAGGGGGGGGCTGAACAGATGGGAAGAGCCTGCAGATGTGGAGAAAATCCCTACTTCCTGGTTCTTCTAGACACAGAAACAGGTCTCATTTTGAGAGTTTAGGGGTTCCCTGCTCCCTGGACAGCCAGATCAAGACCCTCGGCTAAGATTCTGCCCACATTTCTCTCGCTTCTCAATTAGAGGACACCTGACCAATTCCCCTGTCACTTCTGAAAGCAAGGGGTCCCCTCTTCTCATCACCCCTCATAACCTTAGCTTTCCTCATCTCCCGAAGCAGAAAACCAGCCTGCTCTCCACCTGGCCACCGGAGATACTCCATTCTGAAGCCCTCGGGTGGACCCTTCTCCTCCTTACTGCCCTTCATCTGGAGAAGGACGCTCCTTCCTCTCCTAGCCCTCCAAAGGACCTGCCTCCTTCTCCTGAGGTCCTGGTGGCCCAGGCCTCTTCCCTCTGGCGAAGGCTAGACCCTCCTTCCTACACTCGGCACCCCACCCCCACCGCGGCACGCCGCCCTCTCCCCCCACCCCCGCACGACCCAGGCCTGACCCAGCTCCTCCGCGAAAGGCCCGAGCTCCCAGACCCCGTATCTGGGGGGGTTCCCCGGTTCCCCTGGCCCCTCCGCGAGGACTTCCGGGCCCCTCGGTCCGGGGGCGCAGAGCCTCCCCCC